GGGGGGGAAAAAAAACCCTATGGAAAAAAAAAAAAAAAAAAAAAAAAAATAGATAAAGAGGAGAACCAGGGTCAATTTTTAAAAGCCCTAATTGTAAAACATTTTAAAATATGTACAGCAATATTACAGAAGATTGTTTTACTATAGCAAGTGCCTACTAAAATATAGCCAATAGCTAATATTAACAATGAGTTAGCCTATTAATGTTTCAGATCTGTATTACATATTACTTCAAATGCCCAACTTATCTCCAACTCTTCAATTTTGAATGACCCAAATGTTTACTAATAATTATAAATTATATATTGATAGAAAATATATTAATGTGATTTCATGGTAAAAAAAATATAAGGGAAGGACTCCTTTCATGAGTTTTGAAAAATGTGATCCTGAAGAACTGGGACATGCTCCAAGTTGCAATCTGTCAACTTGCCAAGCCAATGAACCCTCAATCTCAATTTCTCCAAATATCAAATAATGATGCTCTTTTAGCCTACTTCAAAGAACAAAAACTAAGATGACTGCTTTAATTTTTTTACTAGACTTCAACCTTCTGCTAAAATTTCTTCTAGAAAAATACACTAATGATGAGAAAATGGGCCTCTCAATCGTTTTTTTTTTTTTTTTTTTTTAAGGATGTCTTCTATTTGCACTTAGGCCTCCATTCTCAAAAAGGGACTGAAAGACTTACATACAAAGCATCAAAGCATTCTTTAAAAGGCCGGGCAACCACTATGGTTACTGCCGGGAAATCATTCCAAACGCTCTTATTTTGAAAAAGGCAGCAGTCATAAGGGAAAGGGAAGCAGACACTGTCAGAGGTGCCAGGTGTGTTCTGTCTTTAATGAGGCCCAGTTGTAGGGCTTCCACTGTGTGCCACAAGGAAGCAAGACATCTGAGGGCTTCTTAACTTTTTCACAAGCATCCCTCTGGAAAAAAAGGACATTTTGTTAAGACTCAGGTTTGGCATCTGTTTTAGGCACAAAAGCTGAAGAGGTTAGAAGGCTTGAAAAGAATAAATCATGTGTTTCAGCTCAAAGAATAAAATATTTAGAATGAACTCCATAAGCCACTAGGTAAAAGTGAAAATAATGCAAAACTAGATTCCGTGTTACTTCCTTTAGGAGAGGAGCAGGGATGCAAAAGAGGCGACACTTGCTTCTTCCTTACGCCTTTGTATAATGCTGTGGATAGCTAATAGCTTCCTTTTCATTCGTTACATAAAAGCAAAAGTGTCAGAAAGAGTGCAGTCTCGTATCTTCCCCGAGTACTCTGAGTGAAACAGACAGGAAGGAGGAGGAGGCAAACCCAAGTGTCAGCTCTGTAGTGTCCTGCAGAAGAGGGCAGCAGTGCTGGGATAAACTTAAGCTAATACGCTCCCTGGAACTATGAATCAGCTTAAGCTAAAAAGGGTCAAGATGTCATGTTTTATGCCAGACGCACACTGAGCCCACAGGAGCCACTCTTGAGAACGCTCTGTTCACCTTAGAAACACGCAGAGTGATTTTGGAGTTACTTTACAACCTTGACAAGTGGTGAGAAACTCGAAACCAGCGCCCAACCGCCTCTAGTTAGTAAACCGAGGGGTTTGAGCTCATTAAGAGTAAGAAGACCCACAGGGAGCCCCCTCTTAGCAACGTCCGGAACGAACCTCGAAAGAGTTGTTTGCAAAGCACACCGAGACGCACGCTGTCGCGGGTGCGTGTGCGCCCACACGGACGTCGGATGTGCACCTATGGGCGAAGTCATTCGAGTTTTCGAACTCCTGGGAAAAGGTGGGGAAGGAGAGCGAAAGAAAGTGGTCCCTTTCGGATTTCCCGAGGTCACTTCTCGGAACTCGCCGGAGAGCTTGTCCCGGCAGGGAGAGCCGGC